TTGGAAGCTATTAATTTGTAAATGCTAACTTCTAAACTTACTATTCAGATAACCTGGAGGACTTATTAAATCGAAGATTTTAAAACTGAAAATGGGATAGTAACATGTGCCCCTTAGAATCACGCTGGGAATCCGAAATAATATATTTCATGTTTATCGGTAGTTTCCACTGAATAAGTGTTTATTATTTTTGTTATTATTATCACTCTGCCTGAAAATTCTCAAGTGCAAGAATGAAACTCACCCCTGAGGCGTTTATGTGAGCCCCTTACAAAGTAAACGGAGCGTGTCTGTATGTGTTTGTCCATCCCCAAAGCGCTGCCCTCAGACAATTCATGACTCATGTACCCGGATTTTGTGGAGGGTTTTTTAACTCTAGGGCAGCCGTGGGCAAACTACGGCCCGCGGGCCGGATCCAGCCCGTTTGAAATGAATAAAACTATTGAAAAAAAAGACCGTACCCTTTTATGTAATGATGTTTACTTTGAATTTATATTAGTTCACACAAACACTCCATCCATGCTTTTGTTCCGGCCCTCCGGTCCAGTTTAAGAACCCATTGTGGCCCTCGAGTCAAAAAGTTTGCCCACCCCTGCTCTAGGGCCTAGTACAGGGCCCTGCTCATAGTAGGACTGCAATAATGATCCATAAATCAAGATACTGGTAGCCTCGGCCAATATGAATGAGCTGCCATTTTACCCCACTGCCAAATAAGCCCATTAGAGATCTCCTCCGATGAAATGTTTGGAGAATCTGTATATTACTCTTCAGAATTCTGATATAAGTACTGGGATAAAACCTCTAAGACTTGGAAGGGAACAAAGAATGGCCCAAAAATGATCAATGCCAGGCGACCAGGTTCTCATCAATACACATAGTTTTATAGACCTCGACTCTGAAAAGTACACCTTCCTCCTGAATAAACAAAATATTGTAAGTTAGAAGAGTATTTTTTTAAACAAACTAATACCAAGTCATGAATGATATGGACTCTGTGATGGGATGAGTCAGAGAGGTACTTTGGGATCAAAGTTATGGAACTGATCTTTTATTTATTTGTGTATTTATTTTATTCTTTTATACAAAATGAGTTTCTGGGACTTGAGACATACCACAAATTTAAAAGGCATGCAAACTCCTCTCCTCTTTCTCACATATTCTTTTAAAGTTTGTAAGAAACACTTTTCTTTTTTTAAAAAAAAAATATGTTTTCATTGATTTTAGAGAGAGAGGAAGGGAGAAGGAGAGAGAGGGAAACATTGATTGGAGAAACATTGATTGGCTGCATCCCGCTTGTATGTACCCCAACCCTGGGGATCAAACCCGCAACCTGGGCATGGACCCTGACTGGGAATCGAACTGGTGATCTTTTGGTGCAGGGGATGACCCTCAACCAACTGAGCCACATCAGCCAGGGCAGAAACATATTTCAAATATATGGTATAGTCCCCAGAAGTATCTATCAAAATAAAAGAGTAATATGCTAATTAGACAGACATCTTTCCTTCCAGACAGAGCCATGGTGGGCAGAGGCCGAGGCAGGGGCAGCGGCAGGGGCCAAGGCCCTTGCATGAATTTCGTGCATCAGGCCTCTAGTTCATCTACTAATGCCGTGTGCCTAACATGTCCCTGGTTAGGAGCCCAAAAGGCTGGGATGAGGTTTTACTTGTAGTCTCTGCCGTGACATTGACTTGATTTTGACTAAAAGCTTTTCTTTGTAGACATTTTCTATGACTGCGGAACCTGAGAAGCATCAGCCCTGGGTAGTTGCTGTTTACTTGCTGTGCTGTGGTGATGCTGTGAAAGGGGCTATTTGTTACACCATATATCCTCTTTAGAAAGATAAACAAATGGGCATATTCCGTGGCCTCAGTAACAATGATAACTATACCTTTTTTGAATAAAGGATTTATGTTTTCTTAGAGACGAAAGCCAAAATATGAATTCTGGAGTTCTTTTTAGGGGCATAAATACTCATATTTGCATATCAATTCTATTCCTATAGAGTGCTCTATTAAGAAAAGAACTTTCACACATATTCTCATTCATGTATTTAGTGTTTCAGCACCATTTTAGGACAACTTTATTTGTTCTATTTTACAATGACACAGAGCGAGTACATAAATTGCCCAAGAAAACTCAATTAGCAAGTGGGAGAGGGGAATGGCCATGTAAATGTTCTGGCCCCAAGAATACCTGGGACCCTTCCATTCTTAAAATCAGCGAAGTCGTTGCTCACAACTAAATTCTTTGTCTTCCTTGACAGTTAAGTCGGAACTGAACTAAAACATGAAACCTGTGGGTATGAGTTGGAGGTTGGCCCTTGTTCCTCCCATGGCCAGGTCCCCTGTGCTGCTCCACCAGCATCCACTGTCTTGAGTAGAATGCTGTAAATTCATGTTAAAAGTTTGCGTTTCCTACAGAAAAAAAGCACATTCCCTCTCACTGGCTAAATTACTGAACCGGGAGGCAACCAACAGGTTCAGTTGTTGACTTAGGAAAATTGGCCATGATTTTGCTTCCTACTAGGGATATTATGAGTTGCTGGAACTCCACGTAGTGGATGCAACAGGCAACAAAATCCCTTAACCAGCAATGACGCCGTTGTCTGCCAACATAAACAGTACCCCCAAGGCAGCACTGAAAGATGCTGTTATCAGAAGCAGGCCAGACAGACATGAAACCCAACAGGAGAAATACATTCTGGAGAGACGGAATTGCGACATTGGTGAGTCACGGTCTCCTGATCTCATTGTGAAATGGCACAGTGACTCAGAGCTGCCGGGACATCAAGCTCCGAACTGGATTTAGCTTTCCAACATCTACTGTCACTGGGGGCCTCGCCCTGCTCACATGGTGGTGCGTCTGAAAACCAAACCCACCTTTTTTTTTGTCTTTTGCCCCTGCCGTTCATTCTCCACGGAACCCAGGAAGTTCAGTTAAAAATTAAAATAAGCGTATGTCGCTCTTCTGCCCGCAATCCTCCAGGGTCGCCCATCACACTCAGAGCATTTTCCAGACCCAGATGACCTGGACCTGTCTACTTAGTATGAACCCACCCGCCGTATTCACCAGCCCTTGCTCCTCCAGATGACCACTTGTTCCCGATCCTTGGCCCACGCACTTTCTGAGCAGCACTTCAAAACGTACGAAGAAGTGGAAAATTGGGTCTCTGAATGGTCTGCCTCAAAACAAGAAAAGTTCTATTGGGACGGTCTCCACAAATTCCCTGAAAGATGGGGGAAATGTGTAGCTAGCGATGGACATGACTTTGAATAAAGCACTTTTGATGTTTCTCTTGAAATGATCGTGTGTTTTTTTATGACAAAATCTGCATTTTTAACCGGTACACTGACTTCCTATTTCCTGCTCCCGTTCGAGCTCATGGGCGTCTCTGGTCTGCAACCAATCAAGCTGGTTCCCACCCCTGTGGCCTGTGCATTGAGTGTTTCCTCCGTCAGGAACACCAGCCACCTTCTCCCCACCCCTTCCTTTCTACTTACACCTCATCTCCAGTTAAACAGCAGCTACCAGAGGGAACGTTGCTAACCATTCTACCAAAAACATCCTCTGGTCCAGCCAGTGTGGCTCAGTGGTTGAGCATCGACCTATGAACCAGGACGTCACAGTTCAATCCTAGTCAGGGCACAGGCCCGGGTTGCTGGCTCCATCCCCAGTGTGGGGCGTGCAGGAGGCAGCCGATCCATGATTCTCTCTCATCATGGATGTTTCTATCTCTCTCTCCCACTTCCTTCCTCTCTGAAATCAATAAAAATATATATTTTTTAAAAATCCTCCCACTAATACTTTAATACATATAACTTTCATCGTAGGATTTATCACCCTTTGAAGTTATTCTATTTGGGAACGTACACACGCATTTACTCATTTATGTTTTGGTCTCCATACTCCGTGTATGTCCTCAGAGAAGGGAGCACATCTATCAGGATTAAGCCTGCACTCCCGCCTTCAGAACCAGCACAGAGAATGAGAAGTGATGGACAGCAAAAGTTGGTCAGATTGATACAGGAGCCCGTGGGTTATTAGAAGACCAAAGGGAGGCTCAGGGGCCCTCCAGAACCCTGATGCATCGGACAGACCCCGTGTCTCCCACCTCAGCATGGGAACGTTTACCTTGCCACCCATTAGAAGGAATCCCATTCTACCTCCACTTCTCCTGTGTCATTCCTGAAGAAGCCAACACCCCCAGGTCATCCATCAATGCCAAACTCTAACTCCTGACATTATCCAATAGGACTCAAGCTTCCAACTTTCCTCAGCATTCCCGACTCTTTCTCTGAGCCTTTTGGAATATATGACCCATCGTGAGTAAAACTCCTTTGATGTATAGAGGTAGATTCTCTGTGCTTACCTGATTCACTATCGCTTTCTTAACCTCTACTTCTATTAAAATTCCCAGTAATGCCAATATCGAGATACCGTGTCAAGGTCAATATACCTTGGCCCCCTGGTTCCTTAAGCAGCTCACTTCCAAGGATCTTGTTGTATGTCTGTCTCCCACTATGAGGTTATCCCTTACACCCTGTCATCAGCAACAATTTATACCATCTCATCTTTTTTTTAATTTTTAAAAAATATATTTTTATTGATTTCAGAGTGAAAAGGAGAGGGAGGGAGGGAGGGAGGGAGGGAGGGAGAGAGAGAGAGAGAGAGAGAGAGAGAGAGAGAGAGAGAGAGAGAGAGAGAGACATCAATGATGAGAGAGAACCATTGATCGGCTGCCTCCTGCACGCCCCACACTGGGGATGGAGCCCACAACCAGGGCATGTGCCCTGACCAGGAATCGAACCAGGACCTCCTGGTTCATAGGTCGATGCTCAACCACGGAACCATGCCAGCCGGGCTCCATTATCTTTAGTCAATGCCTATGATCCCTCCTTCTCACTTCTCCTAACCCAGAGCCTTCTCCAATGCCTCAAACTTGCCCTGGTCTACTGTGCACCCCACCTCGCTCCTCTCTTTCTCTTTGTCCAGCCTACCTGGGACAGTGCAACACCGTGGTTCTCAGAGTGTGGGCCTCTGAGAGGAAGCATGGCTCTCACCAAGGAAAATCCATGGGCCCCACACCATCTATTGATTCAGAATCTCCAGGAAACAGTGTGTTAACAAGCTCTCCGGCTGATTCTTTGTTGTTGTTGCTGTTGTTGTGTTAATCCTCACCCGAGGACATTTTCCCACTGATTTTTAGAGAGACTAGAAGGAAGAGGGTGAGTGAGACAGAGAGAAACATGGATGTGAGAGAGACACATCGATTGGTTGCCTCCTGCACGCACCCCAACCAGGGCCGGGGATCCTGCAACCAAGGTACGTGCCCTTGACCAGAATCCAACCAGGGCCCTTCTGTCCATGGGCTGACGCTCTATCCACTGAGCCCAACCGGCCAGGCCTCTCCAGCTGATTCTGATGCACATATAAGTCTGAGGATCACGGGTCTAACGTAATCACTTTCTAGGTTCCTTAATTCCATGCTCCTCCTTCCCTTCACATATGCACCAGGAAAACGCCCAACCATGTGAAATCCAACTCTGAGATAATCCAGAGCCCACTCTGGCTGCTCCACGCGGCTGGAGGACTCACTACCAGGACGATGGGCCACGTTCAGTGGTCATGACCTAGGGCGGCTGGCGGTGCTGACTCAGTCACCTCTCCTTCTGCCTCGTCTCATCTGTCCCCTTGTGTCCGCAGACCTCCAACACACCCCTCTCCTTTACTCTCAACCAACAATCTCGTTTCCTACGTCAATGAGAGAACAGAAATGATTGGGACTTCCATAAGCTTACTAGCTACATGTGTCACCAGTAGACGTACGTTTTCCTGCCTGCCTTTCGGGGATGAACCAGCCCTCTGATTACCTTTGATCCTGTGCCCTTTAAGAGCAACTCAACAAGCATGGACTTTGGCAACTGTCCCCTCACTCGCCAGCGGTATTGAAGTCACTGTTTCAGACAATGGGGTGGTGAGGGCCTATGGCGGGGGGCGGGGGCGGGCTGGAGGGGGTCAATGAGAGGGATAAAGGGTGCATATGTAATACTTTCAACAATAAAACATTATTTAAAAAATAAAATCAAATAAAAATTGTTAAAACAGAAAAAAAAAACATAAAAGTTACTGTTTCATTCAGCTCACTTTTTCTTTTTTTTAAATAGCAAAATCCCAGCTCCCTGTCAGCTCTCAATGAAGGAAGCAGTGCGTTCATTTCTTCTCCGGTGCAAGTTTCTTAATCTAGGTAACAGCTCAACGATATTTTCCCAGTAGCACAGCTGTGACATCAGATAAATATATTCCTACACAAAATACGATGCTTCCATTAACATAGTGTACATAGATCTACCCAAACTGCTAGGTAAGACCTCAAAGTTCAGAGACTTCTTTCAAAAATATGAATAGCAAACAAATAAAGAGACAAACCTGAAGGAAAAGCAACGAACTCACATAGCTGATGGTTCAAAAGTTATTTCCACCAACACCATCCAATGAAACATATATTCAAGGATTCAAGAGGGTTAATACTGGTGCAAAAAAAAATATCAAAGAATTTAGTCAAGACAGTGGGGGGGGGGGGGATCTGTTGACTGAAGGAGTGACCTGTACACAAATCGAGGTAAATTCATTAAAATCAAATACGAGAAAGATTATAATTATAATATTAGCTTTTATTTCCTTTCAGTTTCTTTTCATCCCCCTTTCTCACTACCCCCTCAGGCATTAATCACCAATCTGAAATCACCAATCAATTTCCACCATTGGAAAGAGTGGACGCTTTGGCACACCTTAAGACTCATTTTTAAAATCACCTAAATTGACAGCTTTGTTCTGGAGTATAACTAACCACACGATGCAGGTCTTCTCAAGGGAAGTCCACGTACTCAGTGAACACTGCACACCAGCTTGGTGACAAGGTAGGTGAGGCATCAAAGTTTATCTTAGAAAGAGAAGCCATTTCTTTTCTTTTTTTATCCTCACCTAAGAATATGCTTATTCATTTTATTTTTTTTAACATTTTATTGATGTTTTCACAGAGAGGAAGGGAGAGGGATAGAGAGTTAGAAACATCGATGAGAGAGAAACATCGATCAGCTGCCTCCTGCACACTCCCTACTGGGGATGTGCCCGCAACCAAGGTACATGCCCTTGACTGGAATCGAACCTGGGACCTTTCAGTCCGCAGGCCACTAAGCCAAACCGGTTAGGGCTGCTTATTCATTTTCAATAGAGAGGGAGGGAGAAAGAGATAGATAGAGATTAGAGATAGAGATGGAGATAGAGATAGAGAGAGATAGAGATAGAGATAGAGATAGAGATAGAGAGATAGAAACATCAATGTGAGAAATACCAATCGGATGCCTCTCACACCCTCCCTCCCTGACTGGGGATCGAACCCACAACCTTTTGGTATATGAGACAAGGCTCCAATCAACTGAGCCACACCGGCCAGGGCAGGAGCCATTTCTCTTTAGTCCAGCCGTGGGCAAACTACGGCCCGCGGGCCAGACCCGGACCGTTTGAAATGAATAAAACTATTGAAAAAAAAGACCGTACCCTTTTATGTAATGATGTTTACTTTGAATTTATATTAGTTCACACAAACACTCCATCCATGCTTTTGTTCCGGCCCTCCGGTCCAGTTTAAGAACCCATAGTGGCCCTCGAGTCAAAAAGTTTGCCCACCCCTGCTTTAGTCTGTAGGATTCTGATGACTCTAGTACTTGCGATGACCTCTTTGCGTTATTACTGCAGGTGATAGAAATCCCAGCTCCCTGTCAGCTCTCAGACCAAATCACCCCAAATGATCCCCATGGTAATCTTTCCTTTTTTGGTTAGACCAGTGGTTCTCAACCTTCCTAATGCCACGACCCTTTAACACAGTTCCTCATGTTGTGGTGACCCCCAATTTCATTGTTACAAATTGAACATAATTAAAGCATAGTGATTCATCACAAAAACAATATGTCATTATATATGTGTTTTCCGATGGTCTTAGGCGACCCCTGTGAAAGGGCCATTCAATCCCCAAAGGGGTGGCGACCCACAGGTTGAGAACCGCTGGGTTAGAGCGTCCTGGGTTCGATCCCCCATCAGGGCACATACAAGAATCAACCAATGAATGCATTGCTAAATGGAACAAGAATTCAATGTTTCTCTCTCTCTCTCTCTCTCTCTCTCTCTCTCTTCCTCTCTTCTTTCCTCTCTTTCTCTCCCTAAAATCAATCAATTGAAAAAAATAAAGATGGTTTATAGGTGCAGCTACCTTCACTGGCTGGCTTTTTGGGAAGCCAGTAAGGCACAACTGGCCAAGGAGTCCCTCATTTTAACTCATCACCGTGCGAAGGACAGGCCTGCGCGCAGTCACTGTCGCTCACTGAGAGATCGGGCCGCCAGGGAACCAGGAGTGCGTACGGCAGGGAACACAGCACGGGGCAGGCCGCCCGCACGCTCCCAGCCAAGGCAGCCTATCTCAGTGCAAAGTGGGTCATCTCGGGAAATATAAAAGCATCACTCCTCCCTCCGAGATTCGGGGGGGGAAAAGAAAAAAAAAAAAAAGTAATTACTTCTTCCACCAAGCAGGATTCTTTTCAATCACCTTCATTTTCGTCCCCGGGAAATGAAAAGAGGTTTATATTAAAAAGGCATTTCCTCTGACTCCGTGTCCTTGAGCCGAACAAAAAGATGTAAACCCAGCCCTCCCTGCGGCTTTGAGGGGAGCGGGGCTGCCTTCTCTCCTTGTGAGCGGCGGCCCATTTAAATAAGGAGATGGGGGCCCCTCTTTCCGATCAGCCCCATTGTTTTACTTGTCAGCAATAGCACTTGAGCTGAAATGGCCCAGGCGCCCGCTCATTTAGTAATTATTGACACGGCGCGGAGCGGGCACAGACAGCAAACAGAAGGAACCGCGCTGGAGAAATGAAATCGGAGGTGTTCGGATCGCGGTGCGATAATGGGGGGGATCGTCTGCAGCTTGGAGGGGGCCCGAGACACCTTTTTCCATCTTCCTGGCACATTTATAATTTATGCTTTGTAATAGTTCCAAATATTTTAGGACACGGGACTTTGCTGGAGAACCTGGCCGGAATGAATGAGAATCACAGCGTACATGGCTTCTCTTTAAAGTGACAGCCCCCGCCTCTCCAGCCTGCCTCTGCTCATGCTCTTACCCCTTGTCCTGTTTAAGTCGCATTTCTATTTATTGTCTTCTGAGCTCTTAAAAAGATCTTTGTTGCCAGATTAGGTGATGCACAACCCATGGAGTTACATGTCTGGGCGGTGTCTTTATTAATCTTTTAAATCTGGAGCTTTGGCTTAGTTCTAAGAACTTCCCTAAAGTTTGATAAGCATGGATTTGAATGGCTCGTTTTTTAAAAAGTGTATTTTTATTGATTTCAGAGAGGAAGGGAGAGGGAGAGAGAGAGAGAGAAACATCAATGATGAGAGAGAACCACTGATCGGCTGCCTCCTGCACGCCCCCTACTGGGGATCAAGCCTGCAACCCAGGCATGTGCCCTGACTGGGAATTGAACCCGGGAATCTTTAGTCCACAGGCCAAAGCTTTATCTCACTGAGATAACTTGCCAGGGCTGAATGGCTCATCTTTTTTAAAAAAAAATACATTTTATTAATTTTTACAGAGAGGAAGGGAGAGGGATAGAGAGTTAGAAACATGGATGAGAGAGAAACATCCATCAGCTGCCTTCTGCAAGCCCCCTACTGGGGATGTGCCCGCAACCAAGGTACATGCCCTTGACCGGAATCGAACCCGGGACCCTTCATACCACAGGCTGACGCTCTATCCACTGAGCCAAACCGGTCAGGACTGAACGGCTCATCTTTTTAAAAATGGTGCATATTTGTGCACTGATGCAACTGTGCTAGAATAATGCATGTGAGTGTGATGACAATGCACATCGGTAATGATAAACTGGCATGCAAATGAGAAAATTAGCTGCTAGAACAGGTTCTCAACCTGTGGGTCACGACCTCTTTGGGGGTCCAACGACCCTTTCACAGGGGTCACCTAAGACCATCGGAAAACACATATATAATTACGTATTGTTTTTGTGATGAATCACTATGCTTTAATTATGTGCAATTTGTAACCATGAAAATACATCCTGCATATCAGATAGTTACATGACAATTCATAACAGTAGAAAAATTACTGTTATGAAGTAGCAACGAAAAT